TAATACAAATAGTAGAAACACGACAATAAGTACCGGTATATTAAATACCGAATTACCTCTAATAAGAGTGCACACAATACTTAAGATCTAAAACAATACAGTAATCATTTAATTGCTAATATAATGAGAATCAGATTCATAACATTTTGGTGAAAACTGATAAAAAACATTTCAATTACTGTAAATGTCAAAAGAGAAATATTATACTGTTTAATTACTGTATTTGGTTTTTCAATTATTGGCTATTGTTGTCATAGGAAATGCTATACTTAATGTCTCTAATAAGAGTGCACACAATACTTAAGATCTAAAACAATACAGTAATCATTTAATTGCTAATATAATGAGAATCAGATTCATAACATTTTGGTGAAAACTGATTAAAAACATTTCAATTACTGTAAATGTCAACAGAGAAATATTATATTGTTTAATTACTGTATTTGGTTTTTCAATTATTGGCTATTGTTGTCATAGGAAATGCTATGTATTTTTATTTGTGTTTAAAACTTTGAACACGCATCTTATTAATATTTATAGATTTAATTATATAATAGAACTGTTTTAATTTTAATTTATAATTTTACCTGTACGCTTGTAATTAAATTATTTTAACTTAATGTCTCTAATAAGAGTGCACACAATACTTAAGATCTAAAACAATACAGTAATCATTTAATTGCTAATATAATGAGAATCAGATTCATAACATTTTGGTGAAAACTGATTAAAAACATTTCATAAAGTCATAGTTTTTCAAAATACTCGAGACTTTCAAACTCCTGATACCCGTGAATCTCGTTTGAACACGCATCTTATTAATATTTATGGATTTAATTATATAATAGAACTGTTTTAATTTTAATTTATAATTTTACCTGTACGCTTGTAATTAAATTATTTTAACTTAATGTACGGTAGTTCTTTTATAATATTGAAAAACAATTTTGTTAAGTTTAAATTATATTTTATTTTAAATTTAATATTTGTAATTGCTTACAACTGTAAGGATATGATTAATATTAATATTGTATGCAATTATTTAAATTTAATTCAGGTACCGTACAAAATAGAAATACTATATAAGTTTATACCGGTAAGTAGTATATAATATTATAAGTTAACATTTTTAATTAGATTTAGATAATGTAATACAGACAAAAAATATTTATATCTCAATACTGGTTAATAATAATGACAGAGACTTAAAAGTTTTACAAAACAAACAAATTAACAAAAATTAAATTTGAAACAAATCTGAAATAAAGTTTTAATTCACTTGTATTCACACAAAATAATGTCAAAACATACTAATAATTATAATCAAAACACACAACAAATGCTATTCATATGAATACTATTTAGAAATATATTTAATTTGTGGACAACTATTGCGGATCTTTTCGGCGACCGTCTCATCCCAGTTGTCGAGTCTTAAAGTGTGAAGTCGTGTGAGTCGTGCCAACCCATGCACCTCCTTGTCCTCCCACGTCATGCCCGGTAGGGATAGGTATCGGAGTTGCGGTAAATCGTGGAAAACGTTATCCACAAACGGCTCATACGGTATGGATTGGCCGCAAACGCTGAGCTCTAAACGGGTCAACCGTTTGCATCGATTGAGACGTTTGTGACAATCAGTGATAATAAAGTCATAGTTTTTCAAAATACTCGAGACTTTCAAACTCCTGATACCCGTGAACCCGGTGTTAATCATGGCTATGATATCATCCAATCTAAAGCAACACCAAAGCACTCGTACGGACAGTCGCTTGAGTTTACGAAAATTGGGCCCAATTTGTGTCAACTGCGAGGTATAGCCCTTTGATAAGGCATTACAATCACGTAATTCATAGCTTATGCCTAAATTAATTAATTCTGGCATTTGTGACAAACTGTACATTAGATCCCCGGCCAGTTTGTCGCCATTGAATTTGATGCTCAGATGTATGGACCGCACAGTTTGGCTATAGTTTTGCGTAAACGTGCGAAAAGTATTGGCGGCGTTTTGGGCGATATTTGCCTCCAAAGTCAAGTGAATTGCATTGAGTTTCTTGAAGTGAATCTCGTTTTCCACACAAAATAGTCGCGAAAATAGGGAATCGTTTGCAACGTTAGACTTCATGTAAATTTTGCGGAGATTAACAAACTTTTGAAGTCTTTCGACGAAATATTCGCCAATCAATATGCCATTCAATGGGATGGTATCGCAAATCACACCAATTGTGTGCAAATGATGGCCATATCTGGCGCTAAAGTCATCCATATTTATGTTATTTGTAATGTTATGGACTCTGAATCCATTCAGATATTCATAGTTTTTGCTAATAGTGTTCAGTATCTTATTATTGGTCTCAATGCTATCGACAGTCATAACTGTGGTAATGTTGGACACAAACTTGCATTTGTGGACAATTTTGTCAAACAATTGAATGGGGAATACGTCACCAAAATATTTACGGTCTTTGCTGTCAATTATTAGATCCTTTTGTGTCGTGTATACCAATCGTTGCCACTGTTTGGACAGACATTCATATTTGAATCGCTGTTCAAATGATAGGTAACTTAAGAGGTGTTGACATAAATCATCACCAAATCTGTCCAACGAGTCTTTGCTGAAGATTTGAGGCATTTTTGTGCCAAACATTCAATACTTGGCGACAAACGACTAGTTATTATGCAAAACACATTACATTCAAAATAATTCAATAGCAGACTAATTATGTTTAACACAATTACACATTGAAATCAAGACATACCTAATCAGTCAGAGTATGAGACATTGTGGGGAAATGTATGTCTTTGTGTAATAGGTATGAATCACTCATTCAATCAGATATTTGTATTTATGATTAAAAATAAGTGATGAAAGACTTGAAACTAAAACTCGTGTGAAAAGTATCAATAGTTTCAGTTTTCACTAGTATTTTACAAATGTTCATAATTTTGGGCACATATTACTACTAACTATGCTTTGATTAAATAAAACTGAAATTAATTAATTAGAAAATTATTAAATGTCTCAAACATTTCATGGATTTTATAAACAATGAATAATCAGTTTCTGGTGGCAATGGATGTGAAACTGACAGCAAGTATGACTTCATAACTAATGAAACCCTATGTCCCATGTATTCAATATTTTATGGCTTATTTATAATGAATACATACTATAAAATTAATATTTTATGTATTTATAAACGTACCAAAAGTTTAATAAATAAATACACGATTGTACAACTAAAGTATATGATGAATTCCTCAATGTACAGTATATGAAATTATATTTTAAGACATCAGGTTTGACCCAGTAACAAATTTGTATCGTAAATTTTCATAATTGTTAAGGTCGTCCTAAATCTATTTGTAAGAAAATTTAACATTGAATATGTATGTGCGCTAACTCTCAATAGACATTCACTATTTGGTTAGAATACAATACTATACGAGTACTAACATTATTAAAGCATTTACTTATTAATCATATATACATAACCAATTATGACTATTCAGAAAGTTACTACTGTATTAACCTTAAACATTTATCTATTCATATCATATGCAGCGAGTTCCTGAATTAAATGCAGCCTTATTTGGTATAGTTATACTTTTGTGGCTAAATGTCTAGTATAATAAACTATTATTAATAGTTATGATAAATAATATTGTTATAAGTATTTTCAAAAACGCAGTGTTATATTAGTAATTATGAAATATGTATTGTTTAGCAAACATAATATTAATTGTATTGTATTTTCAATTAACAAATTGCGAGCCAACAGTATCGGGACGGTGTGGTAGACCAGGTCTGCCACCGAAAGCCACTCTCGTAGACATACCGTCTGAACAGAAATACTTTAATAGCAAACAAATAGTGAGAACTTTCAATTAACAAATTGCGAGCCAACAGTATCGGGACGGTGTGGTAGACCAGGTCTGCCACCGAAAGCCACTCTCGTAGACATACCGTCTGAACAGAAATACTTTAATAGCAAACAAATAGTGAGAACTGATTGCGAAGATAATGGACACGAGTTTCCATACTATGGACAACAGCGCGAGTGCAGGGCTGGCATGTGGACAGGTATACCAGCGCGATGTGGTCTGTATTTTAGTATTTTATAAAAGTTTTGAAAGCTTGTTCAAATATAATTGATTTACACCTAATAAAAGTTAAGTTTATGAAAAGATACATTATTTTAGTCATAAAGTTTTTATTCTCAAAACTTAAATTAAATTAGTAACCAAGTTGATAAATGTAGTTTTACAATCTATGATTATATAAAATTATAAAGTATGGTAACTACACTACATTCCTAAAAATACAATTAATATTAATTCATAAAGTTAATCTAAAATTGAAATAAAAACTACAGTTTTTAAAATAACGAATTAAAATATAATAATCCATAAAAATAAGTTTTATTAAGAATAGATAAATATCATATAATAACTTCAAAAATAAATTAATTTAATAGTATCTAAAATTTAATATAATTTTCAGGTTATATGTTATTGACCGAGGTGATTAAACTGGATATCTATGATTGCAATCCACTTAACCGGACGCACCTTATTTCCCAAAACATCAGTTACTTATCGTGGCTGTTGAGCCCGCGGCTGTGATAGGATGTGAGGTTGAGTAAAGTATACTGTGCACACCGTCTCCTGTGTGTAAATCCGCGGCTATTGGTGAGCACGATATGTACCGTGGATGTCCTCAATGAGTCAGTTAACGTGTGGTTTATATTAGTGGACATCTCCTACATATTTTCCAACAACTCAATATTACCGGTGCCTCCAGTGGTTACGCCCATTATTAATAAATATAGGCATTGCAAATTATTATATACCAGTCCCACAGGGCTATCCTTTTATAATGATTCCTTAAATGGCTATTATTATGCCTGCGATCTAATCAGTGATATATCAATGAGCGATGATATGGTGGATATGATTGAAGTAGTCATTAATATACCGGATAGTTTAAAGGCAACCGTTTGGTTGGAAGGCCTATACCTTGGTGGTATTTATAAGCACCAAGGTAGTAATAATCATCGACCAGATTGTGGTGATATGCCAGTGGAGAAAATCGGTGTAAATATAACGGTTAACAGTCAGTCAAAAGATGTGTCCTGTAATAACTCGTACGATATGTTTGATAAGTATGGCAATCGTAAGGTGACACCAGCTAGGTAATCTTACTTCATGTTTAGAATTAGTTAAAAAAATTATTTAATTCAATTAAATTACTAATAATAATTATATATAACAATATCAAATGATATGAAATATTATTTTATATTTTATAGGTTTGAATGCAATCGCAATGGTGTGTGGGTGGGCGAGTGGCTTTAATTGTGCATTAAATTAACTAAATTTGAATTAAATTAACTTAATGATGCATAAAATTGGCTAAATTATGAGCAGAATTTGTTAAATTATTTCACAATTTAGTTAATTTTGTGAATAATTAACTAAGTTTAGTTAACTATTGATCTAATTTAGTTCATAATTTAGAAATAATTAATGAAAAATTTTCACTTTTGGAAATACAATTTTTTAAATATGTATTTGCCACCTTGTACATTGTATTGTTTACCAGTTTTGTATACATTAGAATAGATGTGTGCGAGTGGGTAAGATGGGTAGGTTTCTGCAGGATAGTAAAGAGACTGATATATACCAGGTGCATTTTAGTGCTTTATGCTCTACGCTTATTATAACAATTTTGGACAAATAGACATTATCTAGGTCAAAGGATTATAAATATAACTAAATAATTAAAAAGAATACTATTTTTTTATAAAATTAAAATTAATTAATTAATGAAAAATTTCTGTAAATCTAATTAATTTATTAGAAATTCATATTTGATTTATAATTTTCAAGTATAAATTATTTTTATAAATGTTAATTTAGTACTGTACATTATGTTAAGGGGCCATTCAATAAGTACGTACGCACGAGGTGGAGGGGGAGGGGGGTCAGGTCAAAAGCGT